TTAGCCATCTTTAACCTACCATTCAAAACAAAAGACCTGGAAAACCATGTGTATATCTAATCATTTGATACTCCTTATTTCAGCCACCTGACTTCTTCCGATTGAGGGAACATGGTCCTGAATCCCAATTTTATCATGTCTTGCTTTCCTTTTTTATATATAATTTTATTACATATATATGCATTCCTAAACAGTACATGTTTTAATTGATTGTAATATCCTTTTACAATATTTTTATGTCCAAATCTTTTAGCCATGGATCAATTTCATCCATAGATATTTGTTATGATTATTGATTTATTTCTACCATCTGATTTTATCATTCTATTTTTTAATTATCTTTCTTTGATTTTTTTGTTAGTGCCTGTCTTGTGTTGATTAATTTATATTGTCTTCTTTTCCCCCTATTTACATGTTTGAAAACTACACATTTATATATGAACATAAAATGTCCATATGCCCACCTGACTTGTGAGATTATGAAGCTAATCTTTTCCCCACCTTTCTGCATATTATACAAAACTTGAAATGCCTCCTATCAACCTTATCCAATATTATATAACATTATTGTTTAATATTTTATTTCTACTTGTTTTTAAGCTTTCCTTCCAAAGTTACCATTGTTATTATCATTGTTATTATTGGATTTTTATCATCAATGATTAACTAGATTTCCACGTATACATTTTAACAAATTGGTTTTACTCACTGGGGCTTTCTTGAATATTCATTTTTCTTCTCACTGAAGCACATGTTTCAGTGGTTTGTTTAGGTACTGCAAATTCTCTCAGAATCTCTTTCAGAATTGTTTCTAAGAAACATGTTTTATTTAACCCTCACCCCTGAATAGTAGTTTCCATGAGTCTGCAGTAAGTTAGAGAGCTCTTATTAACTCGGTCTGCTCAGAAGGTGACACTTGTATTCTTCAACACTTTAAGTATTTTTCTTTAGACTTTTATTTTAGATTCAGGGGTATATATGCACAGGTTTGTTAAATAGATAAATTGCATGTTACAGGGCTTTGGTGTACATATTATTTTGTCGCTCAAGTCATAATTGTAGTACCTGATAGATAGTTTTTTCATTTTCCCCCCTCCATCCTCAAGTAGGCTCCAGTGTCTATTGTTCCCTTTTTTGTGTATCTATCTGTACTCAATGTTTAGCTCCAATTTATAAGTGAAAACATGCAATATTTGGTTTTCTGTTCCTGCATTAGTTTGCTTAGGATATGGCTTTCAGCTCTCTCTAAGTTGCTGCAAGGGACATGATCTTGTTCTTTTTTATGGCTGCATAGTATTCCATGGCATATATAGGTATCATATTTTCTTTATCCAGTCTATCATTAATAGGCATTTAGGCTGATTCCATGTCCTTGTTTCAATACTTTAAATATTTTAAAGCCCCATTTTCCATCATGTAGTAAGAAGGATACTAATTTCAATTCATTTATTTGTAGGTAATCTCTTTATTTCTCTTCAACCCCACTTCTGTCTTTTTAAAGTATTTTTTTCTCTTGCCTGAAGCTTTATTACAATGAATCTAGGTTTGTTTTTTATTTGTTTTTTTAAGCATGTTCCAGACTTAGTATGCTTCTTCCAACTTGAAATTTATTTTATATCAGTTCTGACAATTGTCAGACAGTATTTCTTTCAAAATTCTCTTTCAAGAGTGTAATTTCTCCTGGTACTCCTATTACATATCTAAATTAGTTTCTTTAATACTGTCTTCCAAATATCTTAATCTCTTTCTTGTGTTTTGCTTGTCTTTATCTCTCTGTAATAAATGTCTTCAGACCAATCTCACAGTTCACTAATTCTATATTAAATATATTTAATATGTTGTTTAACATAGGAGCTTTTCATTTTAGTACTTGTGCATTTCATTTCTTAATGTTCTATTTGGTTCTTTTCCAAATCTGTCTGTTCTTTTCACTTTATATTCTAGTCTTCCATTATGGTTTCTAGACCTCTAAAAATATCTTTAATGGGCTAAATGTATTTTATAGTTTCATTTAGATTATAACATTATCTGAAGTTGTTGAGAGGCCAACTCTTGTTTATTTCTACTGATCCTTCTTCAAGGGTAAATGCTTCCTCCTGTGGTTTGTAATTTTCCATCATATACTCATTTTCAAGAGCAATTTTTTTTCCTTTGATAGACCACTGTATCCTAAATTATGGAAATGTCATTACAAAGTTATTTTGCATTACTTCTGCAAAATAAGGGTTTCATAGACTCAAGGCTATACATGTTAATTTTTTAACTTTTGAATTCTTACCAAATGTAGGTACTGTGAATTCTGACTCACTTTCCTACCTCCCAAACCCCCTCCTCCTAAAGACTTAAATGTCTAAAAACTCTAGACGAAAATCAAGGCAATACCATTCAATACATATGCACAGGCAAAGATTTCATGACAAAGATGCCAAAAGCAGTTGCCACAAAAGCAAAAATTGACAAATGGGATCTAATTAAGGAGCCTCTGCACAGCAAAAGAAACTATTATCAGAGCGAACAGACAATCTGCAGAATGGGAGAAAATTCTGCAATCTATCCATCTGACAAAGGTCTAATATCCAGTGTCTACAAGGAACTTAAACAAATTTACAATAAAAAAGCAAAAAACCCCATTAAAAAGTGGTCAAAGGACACGAACAGACACTTCTAAAAAGAAGACATTCATGGGGCCAACAAACATATGAAAAAAACTCAACATTACTGATCATTAGAGAAATGCAAATCAGAACCGCAATGAGATACCAACCCACTCCAGTCAGAATGGTGATTGTTAAAATGTCCAGAAACAGCAGATGCTGGCGAAGTTGTAGAGAAAAAGGAACACTTTTACACTGTTGGTGGGAGTGGAAATTAGTTCAACCATTGTGGAAGACACCACTGTGGTGATTCCTCTGAGATCTAGAGGCTGAAATACCATTTGACCCAGCAATCCCATTACTGGGTATATACCCAAAGGAATATAAATAATTTATTATAAAGATACATGCACATATATGTTCATTGCAGTACTATTCACAATAGTAAAGACATGAAATCAACCCAAATGCCCATCAATGATAGACTGGATAAAGAAAATGTGGTACATATACACCGTGGAATACTATGCAGTCATAAAAAGGAACAAAATCATGTCCTTTTCAGGGTCATGGATGGAGCTGGAAGTCATTATCCTCAGTGAACTATTGCAGGAACAGAAAACCAAACACCACATGTTCTCACTTATAAATGGGAGCTAAACGATAAGAACATATGGACACATTGGGGAGAATAACAGACATTGGGGCCTTTTGGTGTGGGAGGTGGTTAGGGAGAGGGAGAGCATCAGGAAGAATACCTGGTGGATGCTTGGCTTAATATACCTGGGTGATGGGTTGATCTGTGCAGCAAACCACCGTGACACACGTTTACCTATGTAGCCAACCTGCATTTCTTGAAAATGTACCCTGAAACTTAAAAGTTGAAGGGGAAAAAAAGGGTTGCTAGTACTATGTTCTCTAGTTATTTAGAATACTGAGCCTGATCGTAGTCTGTGAACAAATAACAAATATAGTCTGCTATATTTATTCAACAAACATGTATTAAGCACCTGCTATTTGGCAGAAGTGGTGTATCTTAGGATGCACCAATGAACAACTTGCACAAATGCCCCTGCCTTTTTGGAGTTTATCTTTCTAGCTGGGGTAGTCAGACAATGAACCATTGGAAGGTGGTAAAATGATACTTTAAAAACCCCAGCAGGCTAAGGAGAGGATCAGGCCTGCCACTTTGTGAAGGGCAGGTTGCACATCCAATAAGGTGGCTGAATTAGGCCTTATGGAAAGAATGGCATTTGAGTGGAGGCTTAAAAGAGGTTAGGTAGTTGGCCAAGTAAATTATTCTAGAAAGAGTAAGTACCTAGAGCAGAGACCATGAATGGGTGTTTCTGTGTTCAAGAAACAAAGTTGAGATAAGAGTTTCAGAGAAGAGAAGTAATGTGAAGCCAGACTGTGAAGAGCCTTGCCTACTTCTGTAAGGGCTTAGGCTGTTAATTTTGGTGAAGATGGAAACCATTGCAGGGTTTTGAGTGGAAGAATGATGTGTGTGATCCACTTAGATTATGCAAGGATTTTAAAAAGGTTAACTCTGACTGATACATTGAGAAGAGACCATGGGGAGACTCATTTGTAGGCTTCCATAGTAATAATGATGGGAGAGCAAAAGTGGCTCACACCAGGATGGTAGCAGTGGAGGTGGTGAGAAATGATCAGCTTCTGAATCTACCTTAAAAGTAAGCCACAAATCAAAACCTAGCAGGTAAAAATAGAGAGGTCAGGAGTTCAAGACCAGCCTGGCCAACAATTGCGAAACCTTGTCTCTACTAAAAATACAAGAAGTAGCCAGGTGTGGTGGCACATGCCAGTAATCCTAGCTACTCAGGAGACTGAGGCAGGAAAATTTCCAGGGCAAAGACAACATCTTGTTGATCTTTATTTCCTTAATGCCTGAACATAGACATGACATAAGCAGTTGGGGGTTGTTGAATGAATAGTTAGGAATACATAACTTGTTTAGAAATAGGGAAAACCTAGTATTTCTGGAAGCAGATATACAAATATTTTGGCTGTGAAGGAATTTTGATTTACTTGAATAATATAAAAGGAAAAGTTGAGTCAGCCAATTTCCACATTCGCTGATCTAAGAGGAGCTCTTTTTGGTGCTGAGGTTACAATGAAAAGCCAGTCATGTATCTTGTGTATCTCTTTTATCTCTCATATCTCTCAGCCCCTCAGCAGGCGTTCTCTACCCTGTGCCATTAGTGGGTCTGTAAGGCTACAAACTCCACTTCCCAGGCTGCCAGTGCTTATGAGCAGAACTGGTGGGAGAGAAAAAAGGGAGAAAATCATGAAAGGTTTTAATGCTTTAGTTAATACTGGAAATGACAGTTGTTTTCTGACAGTTGGAAATTGTGCAATCCATTTTCTAGTTAATAATTCATTCAGAGGAAAGGAATAGTCATATGGTTTATTACTTGTATACAAATAAGTTACATTAGGATTGCTTTCCTAGATCCCTGAAAACCTTGAAGTACCCACTTTAGAAATGGCAATTAAAAACAGGAATTTGAAAAAGCATGCAGAGGATTTTGGATAATATTCCAATACAACAAAATACACAGAACAGGTAGGAATATACCACAGTGTTCAACCATCAATTGGGAAAGGAGACCATGAAATCTTGCTGCATTCAAATTCCAGGGTCATAGGTTGACATTGAAAATAGAAGGGGACTGCAAATGCCAGAAACCAAGTGAGAAATCTGAGTAAATACAACAATGAAAGGATATTTCTATAATAAGGGAACATGATACATTTTATAAAGTTCACAAGAAAGTAGTCATGGAAAGTAGTCATCCCGAAAATTTCTGTCACAGCAACTCCCTTTGAAATGTACAAAATAGATACTACTTATGCAAAGCTGACTGAAACATAGCTTCCTCATTTGAATCTGTCAGACCCAATTTTGACTATCATGAGAAAAAACAAAAGATGGACTAAAACAGGTGTTTAGAGAAGAGTAGATAAATTGAATTTACTTAGTGGTTAAAGTTCTTATGAATAATTGAGGAAATGGTTCCATATATATTTGGGAAACTACTAGAAGATAATTATTAGAAGATAATTTGGGAAATTAATAAAAGAAGACCAATACTGTAAAATAGTTATAGGATACTTTTAAAATATAGTCTTTTTTATTAAACAATTATAATTCCATTACATAGAAGTTTCCATTAACAAAGTGTTCAATCTCCATTTCTCTCAGCAACATTTTCAGAGTTTTTACATAGCACTTCTTGTTTGTATCCGCGGATCCTCAGAATCCTGTGAAGTATGTTGGCCTTTTTCCTTTTTATTTTTTTTCACTAAAGGAAGAGGCAGAGAAACTGTTTTGCAGAATTATATATATCTTTGCCAAAATTAAGAACATATCCAAGAGTGCTATTCATCAAAAACTTTTGTCATTATAACCATTTGTTTTATTAAAGTAGAAAAAAAATGCTATAACCAGTTCCTACCCGAGCAAAGGGAGAAAAAAGAAAATAGAGGATTTCTGCACTGCTTCAGTTACAGAAATGAAATAGAATGGCAGACTAGTCACCACCAAAATTCCTACAAACATTTAAGAAAGCATGAAAAGTGGGATTTTATTATGCTTTATATACTGCTTATATCTTAACTAAGCAGTTTATTTTACTGAATCTAATTTCATTGGAAAATAACTTTTTTGGCCATCCTTTTCAATAGGCTATGGATAAACCCATTTTATAATTCACCTATTTGTAAACACATACCTTTGTTTTAAATAAAAGTGGGGTATCTAAAAGACTGCAAACAAAATAATTTTCTTATTTGAAATTATATACCAGATAAAGTTTCCTACATAATATTTTGATTATGAAATGTCAGTGGCTCCCCAGTGCTACTGAATAAAATTTAAACTTTTTGCTCTGGCACTGAAGGCCCCTGCAATGTACCTATCTCTTCCAACTTGCTTTATTTGCTAAATTTGACAAAGTTATGAGTCTTCTTAGCTTTCTAACATGTTATGCTGTCCATGTAATAATAACAGCTTGCACAACTGAAAGCATCCTTTTCCTTCTCCGAAATTCTACAAGCCCCATTTTATCACTCATAAGGCATTTATCATTGCACTGCTTTATTTGTATGCAAGTCTTACCAACCTGATTGTACTTCAGGCCTAAGCCCAAGTGTGTGTGGGTGTGCATGTGCGTAGGTACACACACATGCACACAGAGGCGTTATTTCATCTCATCTGGCATAGCAGACACTGAAAAGTATTTTTCTACAGTAGTTTCCTCCTCTACAGAGACTTTTAGGCCTGGAGGCACAGGAGTGGAAGGAGGCACAGTGGTCCTTAGTTAATCTTAGGAAGCTATATTTGTATAATGCTTTCTGGTTTGTAAAAAGCTTATCTATTCATGTAACATCAGAAATAAATGTAACAGAAAAGTGAATAGAGTTGTCTCTAATGAGTTTAAATGTGTAAGATCAGAGGTATTAGCAAATATTGAGAAAAATTTAAAATGAAAGGAGAGAAAAGGAAATGGCTAGCTTTGTGAAAATAACATAGAGTTGATTTAAAAGAAATTTTAAAAGGCTAGAAAAGATTAAGTAGAGAAAGTCTACAGAACTTTGGAAAGCTAAAGAAGTTTTAAGTTGGATTGAAAAGGAGACAATGAATGCAATAAAAGATTATAGGAATTAATAAAGGGAGAGCGGTATGGTTTTGAAAGTCTCTGGTCAGCCTATGGTATTTCAGAGCAGGAATCCAGAAAGGGTATTTGAGAATAGACAAGAACACCATGCTGGTGACTGACTAAAACGTAGTCAGGGATTTCATCAGAAGCAGAATCCATTCATGACAGTCTGGCAATGCAGGAAAACGCTAGTACGCACTTGGGCGCTTCAGAAGTCAGTCTTTTAAGCATGCAGGTGATTTGGGTGAAAACAAAAAATATCAAAAAATTCTTATTCCTTGTGAATAACTCACAGCATTGAGTCTTGACATCACATATTGCCACTTTGGATATTGTACAATCCTTTTCATCAGATACCTAGGATTCTCAATGTGTTTATGAACGGATACATTTTCTTTCTTTCTTTTTTTTTTTTTTTTTTTTAACTTTTTGAGACAGAGTCTCACTCATTCTGTCACCCAGGCTGGAGTGCCGTGGCACGATCTCGGCTGACTGCAACCTCCACCTCCCAGGTTCAAGTGATTCTCCTATCTCAGCCTCCCAATTAGCAGGGATCACAGGCATGTGCCACCATGCCTTGCTAATTTTTGTATTTTTTTGTGGAGATGGGGTTTCACCGTATTGACGGTGCTAGTCTCAAACTTCTGACTTCATGTAATCCACCTGCTTTAGTCTCCCATAGGCGTGAGCCCTGGGACCCGGCCTAAACAGATACATCTTCTCCTACCACTCACATGTGAGTTTCTATCTTCATAAGCTGCCTCTAAACGGATCTTCCTACCCCAACTGACAGGCCAGTCTTGAAACTATGAATTATAAATATTTGGTATGAATCTTCTGACCTGGAGAAAGTTTAAGCTTAGCTGGCATAAGTCTTGATGCACAGTCAGGTATAAGCTGGGGAAGAGGGACACAGATGACATCTTAGCACTTAGTTAGGCCCAAGATAGCTAAAAGGTAAGAAACAAGATGGTAAGTGTTACAGAATGTGTTCACACATGTGATTCATAATCATTTTGATCTAACTTGATAAGTTGATTTTTATTTACCTGAATGTGAAAGATTCCCCCCTAAAGAGTAGCAAAATTAACATTGACTAAAGAGTGGAGTTCTGTGGAACAGTCTCACATGTCTTAATGATAAAGAAGCAGTCTCACATCTTAATGATAAAGAAGCTGTTTAAGGCATTCTTCCCATCTGTACTATCATGGTAAAGAAATATGGATTCCCCCACCCCAATTCTGAAAACAGTATGTACATGGCAACAAATACACTAGACTGACCCAGAATCTAGAACCTCAGAGAATAGTACATAAACACAAGGGGCATAAGTTAGAAATTTTTCAGAAATCTAGACAACACAAGATTTTCACAGCTACAAAGGTCATTTTACTGGTACATTTAATAAATGTTTATTAGCACCTATATACAAGGCACAATGGGAAGTAAAAGACCTCATGGATCTGAACAAGTTGTGAAAGATTCATTGGAGGCAAAATAAATGGTCAGAGCAGCAGCCCCCAGATCAGGGCCATCCAACCAGATGTCATAAAAGTGCTGGCTGAGGGCAATTAGCCAGTCCAGAAGGCCATTTAAATCCACTGGGTGAGAACAAACTATTTTAGGTTCTACAACTTCCAGACAACTCTCCTATGGCCTCCTATCAAATGACTTCTTCCAATCACTTTCTAGAATGTAGATGATAACTCATCATCTCAGCCAGACTACATTTTCCAATACCTGATGATGTATAGTGGCAAATAACTTCTGTAACCATTAAGGGCTCCAGGGTAGCCTCGGTTCAAAGACAAATGAGCACCAATGTTGGCATGAATACCATGGGTCACTGTGAAAGAATTTTTTTCCCTACATGGCTTCTCTGATGTTGAACAAGGTATGAAGTTCGAGTGAAACCTTTTCCACATGTGTCACACTGATAGGGTTTCTCACCAGTGTGGATTTTTTGATGTTCAATAAGACTTCGATTCTGTGTGAAACTTCTCTCACATTCATTACATTTATAAGACACTGGAGCCTCAACATTTTCCCAGTGGCTTTCTGTCCTACTCTGACCTTCCCAGGGCATTCCATGCTCAGGATTCTGAGAATTTTTATCACCATGAATCCTCTGATGTCTCAGGAGATGTGAATTCCGCCTAAAAGCTTTGCCGCACATATTGCACTGGTATGGCTTCTCCCCAGTATGAATTTTGTGATGTTCAAGGAGGCTGCAGCTCTGACTGAAAGCCTTCCCACAGTCATCACACTCATAGGGCTTCTCCCCAGTGTGGGTTCTCTGGTGTTTGATAAGGTTTGAGCTGTGACTGAAGACCTTACCACATTCTTCACACTCATATGGCTTCTCACCAGTGTGGACTCTCTGATGAATGACAAGGGCAGAGCTCCCAATGAAGGTCTTCCCACAGTCTTCACATTCGTAGGGCTTCTCACCAGTATGGATTCTCCTGTGTTTAGTCAGGCCTGAACTTTGAGCAAAACTCTTTCCACATTCATGGCAATAATGTCGCCTACTCCCTATGGCATTTTTCTGCTTTCTTTGTAACCTGCCCTCCTGTTCACCAGCTTCTGCACATGTAGGAATCTGGGCAATGTCTTCACTCAGGCGGCACGAAATCTTCCCATGCTCCTTTTCTGGAAGCTCCTCGGCTGGAGGCAAGTCCCTGCTCTTAGTCTGTATTTCACCACCTGAAACGACAAATGGCCGGCAACTGTGGGTTACACCCTGCCTTGGGAGGAAAGCTCTGTGATGAGTGCCAGGGAGGCAAAAATGACAGAGATCTATAAATGCCCGGGATGAGGATTTAAGTGCTAGAATAAGGATGGGAACAAAAGGGAAAAACAGAGTGCTGGGGAGGAGGGAGACCTGAGAAGGGGAATGGTGCCACTGGAAGGGTACAAATAGGGAGTGGAGGGAAAGTGGTGAGAACCCAGGACTGGGTGGGGGACATAGGTGGTGGTTCTAAGCACTAAGAATAGTAAGCCAGGGCCATGCACCTAGGATTAGATTTTGAAAGGGCTGAGCAGAAGGCGATAGTAACAGGGCAAGTGGAAGGATTTCTGAAGCATGTGTAAGAAATGGCAAAAGTGAAGACTAGAAATTGGTGACAGATCAATGACATTGGCCATCGTCTCTTTGCCCCAGGCAGAGGCAAAGTTCCTGAACAGAACTGGCATTGGCGCTGGGAGTTCTGAGTTAGAGGCCTCACTGTGCCACCAATAAGCTATGGGGTCTCAAACAAGTGAGGTAATCTACGCCTCTGCACCCTCACCCCCAAGGTCAGGGTCTGTAGTTGATGTCTAAGGTTGCTTCTGGCTCTCCTATTCTGAAACCCTGGCCCATTTTCTGAAGAGGTCCCCAGGTTTCCTTTTCAGTCAGGGATAGGAACAAGATGACATCAACATTTACTGATCATCTCCTATGAGCCAGACCTGTACTAGGAATTGTGTCAACTTCACCCCACTTATCCTAAATAGAACACTGGCATGGCGGAAGAGAACCCAAGGTCAGGAGGGGTAAGGAGCTAGTAGTCAGTAACAGGTTTTCAGAAATAGTGATTCTGAATCCAAACATAATGGGACTTAGCAGCTTCTAACAGCCCAGTAGGTTCTAAAACACAAAGAATGCCAAGAAATCTTATGAGAAATTACTGTCTATCACTCTCACCAAGAGAGACCAGGCTGCTATGGTTGTCCTGCTTTTCATCTCTGTAGAGGTTCACCTGAGATGAATCCAGCTGTGTCCACCCAGGAGAGAGGGTCAGGGCCACATCTTCCATTTTCAGCAACTCCTAAAACAACAGGTACTCATAACTAGCTCTTCTTGCCCAAAATTACCCTCAAAGCAAAGAATGAACATCCCCTTTAAAGAGGCTCTTTAAAAAAGAGCAAGTGTGGCACACCTACACCAATTTAACTTTATCTCTAATAAGATCTTTATCCAGAAAACCTGCCAAACGAAAGAAATATTACACATATTTTAGGATAAGTACTTTCATATAAATATCTAAACAGCCCAGAAGATGAAAAGGTTTGGAAAACAAGGGTCAATGTAGCAGAAGGAGAACTATGTCCAAATTTTTGCAAAGAGTTGCAGAATGCTTTGGCAAAGTGAGGGTAGTGGTTCATTTACATTAGCAGTTTAAAAAATACAATGAAATCTAGGACTGAAGTGAGAAAATTAGGGGAAAAAAAGAATAATAGCCTCAAACACGGAGATCTTCAAGCAGGACATGAAAGGCTGAGTAGTAAACTGAAATCTAGGTTAAGAAAAGATTGTTCATATTGTGATATAAATAACTTTAAGAGGCTGTGCCTTATCTCACCTTTCAAGTAACAGTTCTTTGAGGGCAAGGGCCGGGCCTCTATATCCCCCATCAACAGCACAGCTTATTTTACTTTGAAAAGCAAAACAGAATGACCATCCCAATAAAACCTTCAGTTTGCATTTGCTAAACTGCTCTTGTTGAAGAAGAAAAATCACATTGAGGAAGAGGCATGTAATAGGAAAGATCTGAAATGCACAAAGAACACTCCAAGGTTGTTGTGAAACAGGAAAATCTTCTTAGGTGGGCAGCAATGAAGGAAGAGAATAATATGCAACTTTGGGATACATGAGAAAACTCAAATCCATGTAGACCTAGGATAGGGGTGGGGTAGGACCGGAGAGGGAGGAACCTAATGCAGAGCCCAACATTAGTAAAAAGTGTGGGGTGCTGGGGGAGGGAGAGGAGCTCCAGCTCACCTGGGACCCTGGAGTGAGCTTGGAAGCTACCATTGCATCTTCTCTGCAGTGCCCTCCCTGGGCAAGCCCAGGAACCTGGAGAACTAAGAAGGAAAGAAGCTCTGGGTGAGAACTACCCTAGTATTCAGCCTCCCTGCTTTGCAAAATCCAACTTAAAAAACTGGGGTAGTAAGTTCTTGCCAATAAGTTTATACAGAATGTGTTCCTTTCAAAAATACTTGATTCCCACCAGCTCCAGTCCTAGGGTCTAAAGAAATCTGGTGTGCTCTGCAGATATACAAAAACCATGTGTAGAATCCTTGGTAGGAGTAGTGAAATGAAAACAATGTAACAAAGCTTTCCATTTGAAGACCTTCGGGTTTTGAATTTTGCTAGGACATGGGGAGTAAAGAGGATTTTTTTGTTTTTGTTTTTGTTTTGTTTTGGTTAAAATGTCATTAGTAGATATCAGGATGCTTTCCACTTCGGGTTGGAAAAACTAGGAGGCCAGGCACAGTGGCTCATGCCTGTAATCCCAGCACTTTGTGGGGCTGAGACAGGTGGATTGCCTGAGTTCTGGAGCTCAAGACCATCCTGGGCAACCTGGGGAAACCCATCTAAACCAAAATTACAAAAAGTTAGCTGGGTGTGCTGACATGGGCCTGTGGTCACAGCTACTCAGGAGGCTGAGGTGGGAGGATTGCTTGACCTTGAGAGACAGACAGGTTGCAGTGAGCCAAAATCACACCACTGCATTCCAGCCTGGGTGACAGTGAGAATCCCATCTCAAAAAAAAAAAAAAAAAAAAAAAAAAGAAAGACAAGAAAAAGAAAAACTAGGAGGAGTCAGAAAAGGCTGGGTCTATACATGAGGAAATGGAAGACTGCTTAAATAGAACTTGCTCATTCTCAAAAGAGAAGTAGAAGAAACCTTAGGTTTCCCTACAATAAGTCAATTTGTAAGGGGCAGAAACAAGTTGTTTTAGGCCAGGATCTCTAATGAGAAATAAAGATTGCATGTTGGATGGCATGTCCAAGTGTTGTATATCTTAGGAATCTGCCCAGATGTTCACAGCAGATGAGGAACAGCATGGAACACACAGCTGCTTCCTATTAAGTGATATTCACTCTGTTCTAGTTACAGATTTTACAGGGTTTAGATTTATCCTCTTCTACTTGCAGTAGTCCTACTACCTCTGGAATGTCCTGGCTGGCTTTACAAATTCTGCCTTGTATTCTTCATAGCACTTACCAATATCTACAATTGTATTGTTAATTTATTTGCTGTCCTCCCTGCTAGAATGTAAATTCCATCAAAGCAAGAATTCTGTTTTATTGTTGGCTCTCTCCCCAGTGCCTTCAACACTGGCTACCATAGACGAGGCTTCCCTAAATATATCGTTAATGAATGGAGGTCACCATGTTGTTTAAAAAACTGACTCTTTCTAGATACCGATTTTAATAAAATCAGATTTACTATGTCCTAGTTTGGTTAGGAAAGTTTTTCACCATTGTTTGAAATTTCTCTTTTTTTCTCAGTCTTAAAATACAGTCTCTCAGTGATGAGCATATAAAGTAACTGTAAATGGATCTTTTAGGTGATCTTTAAATGAAATTGGATGAAGTCTATAGAATTCATACAACCCAGAAGAGAATACTCACCTCTGTCTTGTAAGGGCTGGGATCCCAGAGATTCACGCTTGAACAGAGCCTTCATTGGCTGGCATTGGCTGCTCTGAGATCTTTGAGTTTGTGTCAATAGTGCCATATTGCAACAGTGCAGTTCTTGCCCCTGGTCACCAACTGGAACCTAGAAGTCATTAGTTTTAGTTATCTACCCAACATTTCTATTATGTTTTCCATGTGCTTTCTATTTGATACGCACTGTTTCTACAAGCCTTATGATATTAATACAATTAACATAGATAATAACCCTATGAGCTATTACTCTGGATTTTTGTGGTAAGTTGCCAAAAATGGAGACGTGGCTCTGATCTTCTCTCCTGCGTGGACAGTGTTTAAGCAGCTTGCCCATGTCACCCAGCTAATAAGTGGCAATGCTAGGATGGAAGCTCAGACAGAATGACTCCAGACTCCATGTTCTTACCATTACTCTAGGCTACCTCATTACATACATCTGTGTGCTTACGAAAACCCTTTGGACACTGGTGTTGAATTCTCAAAAAATACTAACATATTTTCTAATCTGAAAAATGAGGATAATAATTTCTACTTTATGGGGTTTTGGAAACCCGTAAATAAGTTCACTGTATGTGAAATCACCGAACACAGGGCCTGGCACATAGTTATGTCCTCATTTAAAGCAGGTTTCCTTCCAGACATTTATAGTTAAATTACAGTTTTCAAGTTACTGTCTCACTTTTTCCCACCTCAGAATTTCCCACCTCTTTTATGAGGAATGAAGCTAAGAGACTCGCAATGATTTCCCACTGTTACAGGGCTCGGGTGCAATAGACCCAAGCCAAGAACCTTGGTATCCAGCTCTCCAGTTAGAAGGCTCTGGCCACACAGGTCCTCTGAGGGTGTGTGCACAGGGACACAGAATGATGTAAAGAGGAAATAGTATCATAAAACAGGGAAGATGGAGGTAGAAATTGGCCCACTTTATACCAGAGGTTCATAACCAGTGGTCCATGGATTTTGTCCCAAGTTGTCCATGAACTTAGACGGGACAAAAACTCATCTTATTTTTACTGGTCTTTATGAGAGAGTTAGCATTTCCTGCAATTATGAATGGAAGCAACAAGTCAAGGTACCGTAAGCAGTGCCCAGGTCTTTGTCACCAATAGAACCTGCACATGTTTTCACATCACATTACAACCAGGCAAATCGATGTTTATCACCATTTTGAAATGCCAATTAGAATCCCTGTCCCTAGGTCATATTATTTAGTGCAGTAATAACAAACCACATATATGACTTTAATACAAATTTAATTCTTTGCTAACTGTATGTCAATATGGTTGTGCTCTTTTGTAATCCTTTATAGTTTCTTTATGTATTTAAAACTATAATTCAGAGAGGGAGTCCAGGGACTTCACCTTACTGCCAAGGATGTTCACAGTACAAAAAGAGATGGAGAACTCCCGGATCTGAAGGGGATGCCCCTCACTCCGATCTTGAGATGTCAGGAGGAAACGGACCACAGCGCTGAGATACTAAACCTGTTCTTTCTACCTGCGGTGCCGGCTCATCCCGCCGCCTCTCCAAATACTCCAGCAGCAGCACCACCTCCTCCCCGCTCTCTGGATGCTGCTCCCGCACCCAGCTCTGCACGTTCCCCGGCAGGATGGTCAGGAACTGCTCCAGCACCAGCAGCTCCAGGATCTGCTCCTTGCTGTGCATCTCAGGCTGCAGCCACTGTCGGCAGAGCTCTCGGAGCCGGCTCAGCGCCTCGCGGGGGCCTGCAGCCGCCGGGAGGCGAAAGCCTCGGAAGCGCTGGCGCAAGTGCTCGGGGCCCCCAGCAGGGCTGCCGGGTGCGCTCAGCTCCACCGTCAAGGCGGACGCGTCCTCCTTCTCCACCTTCACGGTCAGGAGCCCCGTCTTGTCCACTGCAGACTGGGCGTCCAGGGCTGCGTTTTTTCTCGGTTCTCTGGCCATCCTGCCCCACCGCAGTACCCAGGTCTCACTCTAGCGGCGACTGTATATCTTCAGAGGATTCTGGAACGGTGGTCAACCGTCCAGTAAAACGCATGTGGAGCCCAGGGGCCAGGACACCCCTGAGGCGCAGCCGCACAGAGCTCTCTTATAGTCGGTGCGTCTGCGGGGTCGTCCTCTGCACCCCACTGTGAATCCCACGGCAAGTATCCCCAGAGGATGTCTTTGGGGGTGAACGTGATCACTCTCCAGACACGAGGGAAGTTGAGGCTGGGGCACAGGAAGCCTCGGTGGGAACCAAGGCCACTTCCTGGGCTCTCTAGGAAGCTCCTCTCGGTGGTTGTCTCCGAATTAACCCCTTAGCTACCCTGTCCTTACCTCCACACAAGGGAAGGCAGTTAAGGGAAAGAGAAGGAAAAGGATGGCAGACCCTGGATCATAACAGATAGGATTGATTCTTTAAATCCAAGAAGGATGCCGCTGTGGCTCATATTTTTTTCCTATGTAAAGCTTGCCTAAGCAGCTGGCATAAAATTGACACTAAAATTCAGCTGGAAAGTAGGGGTTTCCCAGAGCCTTGAGAACTCTCGCGGGAGGAACTTTAGTCTCTCTCAGAAACGTCAGAGCAGCAGAACACATCACCAGGCACTTGCCTGGAGCGAGCAGTGGCTGCCCTTTTCCTTCCCCTCTCACCCATCCCTTTTTTTCCTCCTCCTTAAGGCCAAACTACTTGAAAGAAAGCCCTCCCCACCCTGACTCTAGCCCTCACATCCCACTAATTCCTTAACACACTGTTCCACTCCCCCACTCACCACTCTCTACATTCCATGGCTGCTTCTCTGGCAATCAGGCTTATGCTGCTCTCCACCTCCAGAAACTCTCTAGCCTCTGGCTTCAGGGACCGCATTCTCTTCTGTTTCTTCCTTCTTGCTTTTTCCCAGCCCCCATTCACAGTCAAGCACAGTGGCTAGATATACAGGGAGCCAGGTTACCACTCACTATCTGGCTGGGTGATCTTGGTAAATTACTTAACCTCTCTGCCTGACTTTTCCAATCTGTAAATAGGGAAAATAATAGTGATGTTGTAGGCATTAGTAGGGATTAGATAATGTTGTGAGCACTCTTGGGTAAAGTGCTTAGAACAATGCTTGGCATGTGATAAACTAGGCCTATCCTATTATAGAAGAAAGCACTGAGAATTCTTTGAACCAGATGGGACTCGATTTTAAGCCATAAGTGACTCTAAGTTATTTGGCTGGATACTTCAGTAAGCCCCTTTTTACGCAGTAGAATGGAGAAGCTGAGTCCTGGGGCTCCTGGGAGCCAGGATGTCAGGAGGGACCATGGACAGGGACTTTGTGGCAGTGGGACCTCTGCTGAAGTTTGGTGGGCAGTCCGCTTGAGGAATCCCCACCTCTTGCCCACCAGATGCCCATTTCCTTTCCTGGAGTTGGGATCCTATTCCGACGGCTCCTGGTGCTTGGGAAACTCTGAGCCGCAGGTGCAGCTAGACAGAGCGGATTTCAGAGGTCTGGCTTCTTTGACCACCCCTGGCAGGAAAGGAACTTAAAGAATCAATTTTCTGTGGTTTGTCTATTCAGGAACCAGAGACATCCTGGAAAATCCATCCTGGTTTTCCACTCCAAAACAGGCTGTTTTTATCTAAATCACATTAGATATAGTTTTCAAGAAATCTGAGGAGACAAGGACTAAGGACAAAATGGAACAAAATCATCATTTCCTATTTCTCCTAGAAGCAGGGGGAGACTTGTAGTTGCCTGTCTTTTAGAAGTAGGTGGATTTTTCTAGCAAGAATATTGAGATTTGGAGGTAGAATAGGTGAAAGATGATGAAAAGTATATTCTTGTGGATTGCAGAATTATGATAAAGCTCCCATCCAGCATCTCAGAGTTGTGAAGATTAGCTGAGGTAACTTCTGAAAAGTGACTACACACACACAATGCTTCAAAGCTGTCAATCCCACTATCCCACAGGACACTCTGGTTGACTGCCAAATGTCCGGTCCCCTATTCTGTCATGTTAAGAGATTCTTGTTTGCTTGTTTCTGGATAACAATGTGACCACTTGAAAATATTTATCTCTCCAAACACTTGAAGATAGAGGGAGCTTTTTGACCCAATTCCAGACAGTGAGATGAAAGCAAAACCACTGAATGGAGTTTTTAGGAAAACTATATTTTATGACCAAAAAAAGAAAAAAAGAATGACTCAACAGCCCATAACTTTGGCCCTTCTTTCTTCCTAGAATGACTCAAACTAGCCCATACCTTTGGCCCTCCCTTCCTATTCTTTGGTAGAATGGCCATCTTTTCATGAGGAGGCAAGCATGAAGATGAAAGCCATTTGCTGGAAGCAAAAAGTTGTTGAAAAATATTGAAGCAGAAAGAGAAGAAACATGGAACATTCATGATGTCATAGAGCTGCTATAACCACTTTGAATTGCGCCTAAGAAGATACAAATTTTAAGCTGATTGGCTACTCCTTGTATTGACACTTTCTCAATAAGTTTCCCTGAATGATTCATGTTCATTGGGATACCATTTCAGTAATGACCAGGTCACCAGCAAAGACTTTTTAGAAAAGGTATAAAAATAAAAATTTAAGTCATTGGAAATGCCAATGACTTAAAAATCTTTTAAAGGAGGGATGTGTTACTCCAAGTTCTTTCTTAGTCTTTGCCAAAATACACAATTTTTGCCCAGTTTTAATCCCTGAACAGATAGAATATTGATGCAGTTTTTAAATATTTTATAGATTTAGTGGGTACAAGCACAGTTTTGTTACATGGATATATTGCATAGTGAAGTCTAGCCTTTCAGTGTACCTGTCACCTTAATAGTGAACATTGTACCCAATAAGTAATTTTTTTTTGAGGCAGGGTCTCACTCTGTTGCCCAGGCTGGAATGCAGTGTCATGATCATGGCTCATTGCAGCCTCGACCTCCTGGGCTCAACGAATCCTCCCACCTCAGCATCTCAAGTAGCTCAGACCACAGTGCCTGCCACCACACCTGGCTAATTTTTTATTTTTATTTTTTGTAGTGATAGGGTCTTTCCATGTTGCCTAGACTGGTCTTGAAATCCTGGGCTCAAGCAATCTGCCTCAGTCTTTTAAAGTGCTGGGATTAAAGGTGTGAGCCACTGTGCCCGGCCCCAGTAGGTAGTTTTTCAAGCTTCAAGCCCTTCCACCCTTCCACCTTTTGGAATCTCCAATGTGTATTATTCGCCTCTGTATGTCCATGTGTACCTGTGGTTTAGCTCCCACTTGTAAGTGAGAACATGTGGTATTTGACTTTCTGTTTCTTAGTTATTTCATTAGGATAATGGCCTCCAGTTCCATCCATGTTGCTGCAAAAGACATAAATTCATCCATTTTTATGGCTGATGTAGGTTTTTTTTAACCTAACCTTATGCTATAAACACTATCTCATGTCACTTTTTGTTTTTTTGTTTTAGATGCTTCAAAACGGTTCTCATTAGTGAATGTCTCATATTGACATAAAGCAAAGTATTGCCTATATTGTTGTTTTTGTGTGTAAAGGTCACTAAATATATGTGTAAAGGCAGTCTGAAGTAATTTAGAAAGGAATTGAATTCCAGTTTGTCTCCAGAACTCTATAAATTTACTTATTAGGAATTTCTTTTTTTTTTTTTTTTTTAGACCGAGTCACACTCTGTCACCCAGGCTGGAGTGCACTGGCATGATCTCTCGGCTCACAGCAATCTCCACCTCCCAGATTCAAGCGATTCTCCTGCCTCAGCCTCCCAAGTTGCTGGGACTATAGGCATGCACCACCATGCCCAGGTAATTGTTGTACCTTTAGTAGAGATGAGGTTTCACCATGTTGGCCAGGCTATTCTCAAACTCCTGACCTCAAGTGATCCGCCCGCCTCCACCTCCCAAAGTACTAGGATTACAGGCATGACCACCGCGCCCAGCCAGGATTTTCTTAATAATAAGTATAGATTGGGACAAACTAATATTAAATGCCTCCTTCTGTAATGCAATAAAATATACACAATATCACCTATGTGATCAGCCAAACAGGATCACCTTGAATCTCATCTTGAAGAAACAATCAGATAAATTTAAATTGTGAGATATTTTTAAAAACAATCACCCTGGCCTCTTCAAACTATGTCAATAAATTAAAAAATAAATTGAGGGGACTGTCTTAGTCCCTCTGGACTACTGTATCAAAATAATGTAAACCAGGCAGCTTATAAACAACAGAAATTTGTTTCTCACAGTTGTGAAAGCTGAGAAATCCAAGATCAAGGTGCAGGCAGATTTGATGTCTATGGAAGGTCTGCCTTCTGGTTCATAGACGGCACCTTCTAGCTGTGTCCTTACGTGGTGGAAGGGGCAAGGCAGCTCTCTGGGACCTCTTTCATAAGGGTACTAATCCCATTCATGAGGGATCTGCTCTTATGACCTAATTACCTCCCAAAAGCCCCATATCCTAACACTATCACATTGGTGATTAGATTTCAACATATGAATTATAAAGGGACACAAACATTCAGACTAGGCAGATAAACTGTTCTAGATTTAAGAGACTAAAGTGTTATACTAAATGCTATGCATGAACATTGAATGGATTCTAGATTTAAAAACACACACAAAATATTCAATCCCACCTCAATGCCATTTTTTGAACAACTGAAGAATTTTAAACATATCCTATATGTTTTGACTGTAAGGACGATATTGTAAGTATAAAGGAAAATGTCGTTTTTATGCATTCATCACTGAAATAGTTAGAAGTGAAGCATTATAATGTCTGCAATCTTCTTTCGAGTAAGAAACCAAATCTTAACCACTAGCGAATCTAGGTAAGTGATATATGGGTGTTTGAACTTTTCTGTAGGTTTGAAAGTTTTTAAAATAAAAAACTGGGGGCCGGGCATGGTGGCTTATGCCTGTGATGCCAGCACTTTCAAAGACTGAGGTGGGAGGGTCACTTGAGCCCAAGAGTTTGAGACCAGCCTGGGCAACGTCTGTCTAGAGACAGGGTCTAGCTCTATAAAAAAATCAAAAATCAGTTGGGTATGGTGATACGCAACTGTGGTCCTAGCTACTTGGGAGGCTGAGATGGAAGGATCACTTAAGCCCAGGAGGTCAAGGGTGCAGTGAGCCATGATAGTATGACTGCACTCTAGCATGGGCAACAGAGTAAGACCCTGTCTCAAAAAATATTAAAATAAAATAAAAATGGGAGGAAAGATTTATGAAAAACAATTTTGAGAAATTTTAAGATAGTAAAATGTTACCTGTGAGAACAATTCCATTTTAGCTGAGCGTTCAACATCTGGTACTTTCCTTAATGATTAAAATGTATTGTTATTTCAAAAACTTTCCCCATTTTCATAAAGTTCTTCAAATGTATTTCTATGTTCTATACAAATGAATATTTGCTCATCTATAAATAAAATTTAGAAAATAAAAGCCCATCTTCTCATAAAAAGTTATGGTAGGCATTTGTTTTTATCCCTATAAGCATAGTTTTTGCACCACTGCTTTTTCTGCTAAGTCAGGGGTTAGCAAACTGCTGCCTATAGACCAAAATTCACCCGTGGCCTGTTTTTTTAATGGTCTGAGTGAGGAATTATTTTTATATTTTTTAATGGCTGGGGGGAAAATCAAAAAAATAATAAAATTTAGTAAAGTAAAAATCATGAAATTCACTTCAGTGTCTATAAATAAAGTTTTGTCAGAACACAGCCTTGTTCATTCACTTACATATTGTCTATGGCTACTTTTGCCCTACAAGGGCAGAACCCTAATTAAACAAAATGCTTTTCATCCAAAAAAGAATTTAATTTTTCCCATTAGAAGATACGAATTACAAAATTATACTCAATTATTATCGTTTGAATAATATAATTATATTACATCAATTAAAATGTGTTTTTTCTTTTGTTATAAGTATGTAATATACACCATGGAATGCTATACGGCCATAAAAAAAGAATGAGATCATGTCCTTTGAAGGGACATGGACAAAGCTAGAAGCCATTATCCTCAGCAAACTAACCCAGGAACAGAAAACCAAACACCCCATGCTCTCATAAGTACGAGTTGAACAATGAGAACACATGGATACAGGGAGGAGAACAACACACACCAGAGCCTGTAGGGGGTGGAGGAGGGGAGGGGGAGCATCAGGACAAATAGCTAATGCTTGTGGGGCTTAAAGCCTAAATGATGTGTTCATAGGTGCAACAAACCACCATGGCACTTGTATACCTACATAACAAACCTACACGTTCTACACATGTATCCTGGAACTTAAAGTAAAATAAAAATTTTAAGAAACAGTTATCTATTCCTTGGAATAATTGAACAAATTGTTGATTATGCTTTATCATTTTTTAAATGTACATTTTGTCTTAAAAATAAGTATGTAATATCCTCAATTTTGCCTCTTGACCCATAAAACCTAAAATATTTACTATTGGCCTTTTACAGAAAAGGGTTGCCGACCCCTAGTCTAGGTCATAGCTTTTCTAAAGATCAAAAATATATTCTAAATTTCACTTTCCTGTGTGCTACCTGAAATAAGTATTCCATCAATCAACTTGTTAATTCAAGTTTACATCAGATATTAACGGCTTAAATTTAGTTATCCAAGTAAGACATATCCATTTCATTGGCCTATCAAGTAGTCTATAACTCCAAAAACATTTTTTATTTAGTTACAGAAACTCTATAGTACTTATTCTATCCATATATTTTCACTATACATGTGACCATTCACATATAATACTCCCTGCTGTTTAACAGTTCCTAAATTCACATAATTTATGCATGGAACCAATCCTTATCCCCTTCAATCAAATTACTTAAATTTTTACTTAGAGCAAATGATATAATTTGGTCTTATTCTATTTAATTCCCCCCATTTTGTTATTTAGAGTTCTAGCATCAGGAAGGTATCATTCTTAAGTTTTGGCCTGGCTGTCAAACCTGAGCAGATCAACTCAATTAGAGAGAACCAAGATGATGTTAATGCCTTATTTACATTTTAAGATGAGGGATAAATGATCTTGTATAAAATGTTTGTCATTTCTGAGAGTGAGATATAATGTGTATACAGAAAGTGGTTTCCAAACTACAGAGTTTCTGAAGAAATCTCCCTAGATAGAAAGATAGCTGTCTACATGATGGAGTGGGATGCTTTTGTGTTTCTAGGGTGGAAAAGTCTGTGAATTTAATAATTAAAGTCCGGTGGCAGGGCCTGGGAAACGGGCGGCAGGCGCCATGTCCGGCCGGGAAGGTGGCAAGAAGAAGCCCCTGAAACAGCCCAAGAAGCAGGCCAAGGAGATGGACGAGGAAGATAAGGCTTTCAAACAGAAACAAAAAGAAGAGCAGAAGAAACTCGAAGAGCTAAAAGCAAAGGCCGCGGGGAAGGGGCCGCTGGCCACAGGTGGAATTAAGAAATCTGGCAAAAAGTAAGCTGTTCCTTGTCCCTGAGGAGATGGTGACCCTTTATTTCATCCGTATTTAAACATCTGTATTCCCTGCCATAGCATCTTTTGCCACCTATAGCTGGAATTAAGTTGTCTTGGAGCTGTTGTACATTTAAGAATAAACTTTTGTATTAAAAAAAATAATAATAATAATTAAAATCATGACTCTTGGCCTGGCATGGTGGCTCACGCCCGTAATTCCAGCACTTGAGAAGGCTGAGGCGGGAGGATCATTTGAACCCAGGAGTTTGAGACCAGCCTCAGAAACAAAGTGACACCCGTCTCTACAAATAAATTATTTAAAAATCAGTCTGCCGTGGTGGTGGGCACCTGCAGTCCCAGCTCCTCGGGAGGCTGAGTTGGATCACCTGAACCCGGGAAGTCAAGTCTGCCCTGAGCTGTGATCCTTCCACTGCACCCGAACCTGGGCGACAAAGACCCTTTCTTTAAAAAAAAGTACAACTCTGTCCTTCACCTAGCTCAGAGACTGAGAAATCGATTCAAAAGAAGTTTCGGTGCTTGCTTCCCGTGGTAACAAGGGAGATTGGGAAGTGATTAATTAAACACATTTCCTCCACGAATAGGATGGACAAGGTCCTTTTTTAGGAAGGTAAAAAGGAGGGGCGTTGGTAGTAGGGATCTTCCACAGAGGGGTAAAGTCAAGGAGACGGAAATGAAGCGTTTGAACAAAGGGTGAGAAGCAAACTGGTAAAAGGCGAAATCGAAGAAGTGGGTGTTTCAACGGTAGAGAGAATAATAGACGCAAATTCGTCCTTTTACGTTCCCAGACGGCTCAGGTGGGGGAACATAAGTCCTCACAAGCGCGCCCTAATCCTAGCCACTTCCCTCACGAAGCTTTCACGCAGCCCCGGCCAAGGCCAGCGCCTCACAGCACACGCGCGGATTCGTTTTTCCTCTGCTGACTGACAGGAAGCGGAAGCCGTGCGTGGGCGGCCGTTTCTAGTGCGCCTGCGTGGGAGGCCGTGTTTCGTGCTCCTGCGCGGCGGTGAATCGCCGCCCTGCCTCTGTGTCTCCAGTAACTGCCCAGCGTTAACCGTTTAAGTCGCGGCTCATGCCCCCAGTCTCCCGGTCCCGCTATTCCGAGGACGTCCTGAGCTCTCGTAGACGGCGACGCAGCTCCTCGGGGAGCCCAGCATCCGCGCGGAGCAGACGTTCCTCTAGGGATGGCCGTTCGCGCTCTCACTCCCGCGGCCGTGAGGGCCTCAGGCCTCCTTGTAGTGAGTCGGGCGTGGACGTTCTTTACCCCATTTGTACCTCTGGGTCGCAGGAGCGGCCCCCAGGGCTCCGCACCTACGCTTTACCTTCCTCCTCGTTGACCTCGTTGAGCGGATATCGCCACCGTCGCCACCAGTATGCGGAAGAACGGCAGTGGGTGGAAGACTACGCGAAGGAGAAGGAAGAGAGCTATGGGCAGAGGAGGCTGAAGGAGAGAGAGAGGATTGGGGAGTTGGGAGCACCTGAGGTGTGGGGCCTGTCCCCAGAGTTTCCTGAACCAGATTCTGATGAACATAGCCCAGTTGAGGATGAAGAGGTAAAGCACAGGAAGAGCAGCGGCTCAGACTCCAGCTCGGAAGAAAATGGGAAAAAGAAGACCAGTCGTTCAAGAAACAAGAAAAAAAGAAAGAATAAGTTGTCTAAAAGAAAACATAGGAAGTCTTCTGATGATAGTGACAGTAACTCAAACCCAGAAAAAAATTCTAACTCTGATGATAATAAAAAGAGAGTTAAAAAAGCCAAGAAGAAAGAGAAGAAAAAGAAACGAAAAACAAAAGAACCCAAGAAAAAGAAGAATAAGAAGACTAAAAAAGAATCCAGTGACTCAAGCTGTAAAGATTCAGAAGAGGAGTTGTCTGAAGATACGTGGATGGAGCAGCCAAATATTGCAGATACTATGGATTTAATAGGTCCAGAAGCACCTATAATACATACCTCTCAAGATGAGAAACCTTTGAACTATGGCCATGCTTTGCTCCCTGGTGAAGGTGCAGCTATGGCTGAATATGTAAAAGCTGGAAAGCGAATCCCACGAAGAGGTGAAATTGGGTTGACAAGTGAAGAGATCGCTTCTTTTGAATGCTCAGGTTATGTCATGAGTGGTAGCAGGCATCGCAGAATGGAGGCTGTACGACTACGTAAGGAGAACCAAATCTATAGTGCTGATGAGAAAAGAGCTCTTGCATCCTTTAACCAAGAAGAGAGACAAAAGAGAGAAAATAAGATTTTAGCCAGTTTTCGAGAGATGGTGTACAAAAAGACAAAAGGGAAAGATGACAAGTAAGGACTTGTTAGTTGCACAGCAGGACTTTTAACAAAAAAATTTTATATGACCAGAAGTGTTAAAAGACTTTGCAGTGCTACTGTACTTAACGTAGTAAGTGTCTCAGGAAAAAGCTTCTTTTGTGATGTCTTTAGCAGCTTATTTTTTTTGACTTTAGAAAGTAACAGTTTTAAAAATAGTCATTACAGAGGGGAGTTAGTAAAAAGTGAATCTTTCACCGCAGCCCCTGACACCTTTCTTCCAAAAAGTATCTTTTTTAGTGTCCTCTACATAGAATGTACATTCTGCACATACACAAGGATATATGTTGCAGGATAAGGGTTAAGAGCTATTAAAGTTTTTTTCTCCTGTTACTCTGTTTTGCCATTCATTTGCCCCTGGGGGACCAAAAGAAGCCCAGAAAGAACAAAAGGATTCCATAAGTGTATACCTCTACTTTCAGTTAACAGGCTGGGTTAGAAAATAGAAAATATTTATTGGCTCTTGAAAAGTCTGGAAGAAGGATGGATTTCCTGCATGGCTTTAATTGAACTTCAGCTTTCTTCTCCACTTTCCTTTTCCAAGGGTCGTTTACCTTGGCCTGGTTTCCCTTATATAACAAAAAGGCTGTCAAACCTCCTGAGTTTGGTTACCTTTTTTTCTGGTCCACCTCTGAAGAGAGAACATTTCTGAGTTGCCAATCCAAACAGGAATCCAGAGATTCACCATAATGGGATAAGCTTGGGCCACTTGCCCACTCAAAACAAGTGTTGCTTAGGAAATAGATGGCTTATCTGTGGAGTTGTAGATCAGTTGTACAGGAGTGGATTCTTGAATGAAAATCAGGTTGGGCAAGGGAAGTAGACAACCAATAAATGCCTACTACAGTTTTGAATCATTTTTTAAAAGCATATAGTGAAAGTACATGTGTTAGAAGCGAAAATTTTCTTGTAGAAAAGCTTGGCTTTGACTACTAGAAGCCAAATCCTGATTTAAGAGGTTATAAGCTTTATTCATAAAAAGATATGAAAGATGAATATCAGAGTGCTTGAGTAGATTTGGGCCATCTAGCCTGGCAAGAGAAAGAAAAAATGATAAGGTATAAAGAAGAACGCCAGGGCCTGATGGCTTGCCTGTAATCCCAGCCCTTTGGGAGACTGAGGTGAGAGAATTGCTTGAGGCTAGGAGTTCGAGGGCAGCCTGAGTAACATAGCAAGACCAGATCCCCACCCCCACTCCCAAAAAAAGAGTGAGATGTTAGATTTTGAAGGGAAAGCGAGGGTTAAAGAAACACACACCACAAACACACACACACACACACACACGGAGGTTCAATGGCAAATGCGGGATTTGTGTCCGGCATAACACCTACAGAGTTGGGGAACCAACCTGATGCCAGTGCCTACCATTGCTTACAGGCTGGGGCACTTGTAGGCCTGAGCAGGAGGGGTCTGGGCAGTATGGCTTGCTGCCAGGGAAGATGTTGATAAGACAATTTGGCTCTTGTTCCCACAGAATGTAATGTTCCTTGCACTTTTTGCCAGCACAATATGATAAAGGGCAGGCTGTTACTCACAGCCCGAACCCCTGTGGAATGTTTTACCTTGATTAAGGTCTGAGAAATGGTGGGAGACTTACAAAATGATGCAGTTTGGGCTAACAAGAGAGAACCAGAGGAAGAATAAGGTAGTTGGCAGAACTCGAGGAGGAGACCAGATCAGGAGGGACCACAAGGACAGGAGAATTAGCATCGAGAGACTGGCTAATCTTTTTAGAAAACTCTTGAGTTTTGAGAAAACTTCACAGTGATCTCCATTAAAGGTCTATTAAAAGGCCTTTTTGTCATTCAGTGATATGTGTCTGGCCCTTGAGACTTTAGTTTAACACTATCCAAATTATCTTATTTGCATAACCCCCTTTTCAAAGTTGAAAATATTGATTAGCCCCCGGAGAGTTGCAGGTGAGGAAATGGGGTTCTAGAATCTGGCAGGGCAGTGTGATGTGGAAGGGCACGTTTACTCTTCCACAAGATGTGACATGGCTGACACTGGACCACATCAGCTTAAGATTTTCCCCAAAGGGGGTTGTGGCATATTGGTGATAGCCATGCTGTTACATGTGCATATTTCCATTTAGAACAAACTATACCACACTATACACATGGATTGACACTTTGCTCTTTTAATACATCCTGGAGATGTTTTATATCAATACATATGAAACTTTCTTTTTAATAACTTTATAGTATTCCATTATATGAAAGCACCATATTTTGTTGGCTGGTGAAGAGGTTTTTCTATATTATGCTATCACACAGCATTATAGTGAAAGCCTCTGTGAATATGTGACAGTGTATCTGTAGCATATCATCTAAAAATAGATGAATATTAGATCAAAAAGAATCTTTTGGATCATCTAGAAATGCTAACATCAAAATAGAATTATTGAAACGAGGAAAATGTCAGGTGCTTCCTATGTATTAGGCACTGTGGTGGTACTGGGAATTAACCAAGAAACCAGTTAAACTTGCTCCTTGCCGTCATATAATTTTACATCTGACTGGGGGAGACAGACTCACAAAAGCCGACAGGCAAAAATTACAAATTACGGTATGATGTGAAGAAAGTAAGGGGCTACAGACAGTGTTGGGGGGCAGCTTTTTTGATAAAATGGTTAAAGTCTAAGAATGTCACATTTAAGCTCTGTGTGCTTTTCAATTTTAATAGATACTGCAACACCCCCCTCTCTGTTTACACACTCACCAACATCATCACCAATATTGTTTTTTCAAACCTTTTGATCTTTCCCAATCTAAGGTGTAAATGACATTTTATTTTTTATAAGGTAGAGCATCTTTTCATAGATGTATTTATGAGTCTTTTGAAATTCTTTTTTGTGTATGTGAACTGCTCCTGCGATAACCTTTGTCTATTCTTTTATAGCGTTGTTGGTCTTTTTCTTACTGATCATAAAAATGCTTTAATAAATAAATTAGATCTTTATCAAATATCTTGCAAATATATCTATTGTTATTTACTTTTGACTTGCTTTTCTTGGAGACACTTGACTATAATGCCCTTTCAGGCCTAAAAAGATTTTCTAATAGTGGCCACACAAATATCTTTATCTTTCTCACTTGGAAAGTGAGATCTTTATAAAGATATCTTTATAAAGATATCTTTCTCAGTACAACTGAGAAACTGTGACTTCTAAGTAAGCCAAGGCAAGATTAGTGAGCTTTTTGCCCAGAAAGATAAAATACACACCATACAATCAATAGTATTTCTAAGGCTTGCAGTGGAATACTCATGATAGCTGTAATTATGCTTCACTTGCTATTTAATGTTGCCTAATATATTAGAGAAGGACTTGGCCAATACATCTGCCTTAGAAGAGATTTCAAAAGTTGGAATTTCACTGCAGACCACTGTTGTCTCAGGGGAGCTAATAAAAAGGGTTACAGCAACTTTTCCTTTGAAGTAGTTTTGCCCAGAGTATGTAGTTATTGATTGTGAAATAGAAGAAAAACGGCACAACAAAAATTTTATGTTATGTTTATGTTTCAAGAAACCATCAAAATCACTTTATTATTTCACTCTGCTCACGCAGGAAGTTGAACAGATCAAATAACTTGTCTTAGCCACCAGAGTTACATTGAGTTTTATTCATTGCTGAGAAACAGCCTAAGAAAGAAAGTGAGGCTACTGCCAATTTACAATTGATACATTTTATGGAATAGCATTAATGTTCTCAGAGACCATTATTATATGACTTTATGGAATTATCAAAAATAGTGTTTCACGAAATATAAAAATCTCCCACTGGCATAAGGGGTCTAATGGGTATTTCATGCTTGTTTTTTTTAAAGTTCTATAGCACAAGGGAAGGTGTTTCTTAACCTTAGCTACCAGCAATTTAGGGAGTAAGAAATTATAGATTTAGCAAAATTGCTGCCTTTTTATTCTTAGCCTAATTAATTCAGCTACATTTTAATCTGAATTTATGGGGGATATGTCTAAGATTTCACCATCAAATATAAGGGAGGCTTCTGGTATATTTGAGATGGGTTTATTTTTGCCTTGTAAAGGAAGCATCCATCTATTTGTTTTTTATTAGGAGTTTCTGCTTTTAGTCAGAAATATATGTTGAATTTTATAAAATGACATTGTAGCATTTGTGGAGATTATATGATTTTTCCTTATCAGCCTACTAATATGGTGACTTAAAGTTATACGTTTCCTAATATTAAACTATCGGTTAAATTTGTTAGATTCATTTGTAGGCTTTGATTGTTTAGAATAATCACTGGACAAATAATTTATTTAAAAACTCAAGAGTAATGAATGAGGCCTTTCTGTGTGGGTAGAAGCAGAGAGAAGAACAGGAAGCATCATTACCAAAAGATAAGAACTGCAAATCTTATGCTGCAGCATATTGATGGTATGGAAAAGAAAGTTCTTATCTTGAATATCTTGTGAATGAACCTGGTAGAAACATGATCACTATAGTTTACAAAAATGAGGATAATCTTGAAGATGAAAACTCAAGTTTGAAAATTGATTTGTATTTTCTGTATGTTGTCTGTCCTGATGATAATGGTGTTTTAAGTTATTCTCACCTTATCTACCCCTACTGCTCCCAAAAGATACAAATGGACTGTTTAAATGAAAAATGCACACCTTGAAAATTTTTTTAAAAACTCTTCTTTGTCTAGCTATTTTAAAGGTTTTGATTTCATGAGATATCCAATGCAATGCCAATAATCTCAGTATTGTTAATAAAAGTGACAGATTTAAGACACTAGTCAGGGTAGGAAGTTTTTTTTTTTTTTTTGAGACGGAGTTTCGCTCTTGTTACCCAGGCTGGAGTGCAATGGCGCATCTCGGCTCACCGCAACCTCCGCCTCCTGGGTTCAGGCAATTCTCCTGCCTCAGCCTCCTGAGTAGCTGGGATTACAGGCACGCGCCACCATGCCCAGCTGATTTTTTGT